ATTCTGGAATAACAACATTAGCAGTAGGAGCTAATGTGTAGGCAAATACCACAGTATTTTAGTTATCTATTTACGTCTTAAATAGACACTGTGAGAATAATTAGTTTAAAGAATGTATTTTGAAGGTATTTTTTCTATCAGAATTCATGGGGCTTCAGGTACAGACATCTGAAGTGTTGGGCTCCCTAAGCATTTGAAGTTCTGAGTGCAGTGCCACACTGATTTGTGTATCTGCTTTCTCTGGAGTTTTGAGCAGTTGGGATAATGGTGTGAGGGGAATCCTCTCCTGTGGTCTGGCCCATTCTCTTGGTGATGTTTGATCTCTGAAAGCTTCAGAAATGTGCTAGGGGCTTTTAACAAAGAAAACTTTTTTCTCCTTCCTCACTAGGCCGCCTTAATATTACTTACCCCATGCTGTTCAAGCTGACCAACAAGAACTCAGACAGAATGACTCACTGTGGAGTGCTGGAGTTTGTGGCTGATGAGGGCATCTGTTACCTTCCACACTGGGTGAGCTGCCTCGTGCTGGGCTCTCAGAACCTGAAAAGTAGGATTAGCGAGTTGCCAAGTTTAATATTAAGGAGGTGGAATGTTTCCTGGCAGTGCCTGTCTCTGCTGGTCATGTTCCTACAGCAGCCTTCAGTTCTGGCTCAGGCTCCCTCTGCAGAAGTTTAGCTTAGCAAAGCAGCCTGCTTTTAACGTGCACCTGACAGTTCTTCCTGCAATTGCATATCCATAAGAGCTGATAAACACAGGAGAGAGATTTGAGAACATCAGACCCATTGTAGGACTTTGTGTGTTTGTTTCCTTTCTTGCAGATGATGCAGAATTTGCTGCTGGAAGAAGGAGGCCTGGTGCAAGTGGAGAGTGTGAATCTGCAAGTTGCTACTTACTCAAAATTCCAGCCACAAAGTCCAGATTTTCTTGACATCACCAATCCCAAAGCTGTGTATCCTTCCTATTCAATTATGGAATAAGGGGAAAATTTTTCTTCCACACTGGAATGATCAAACAGAGCGAGCTTTTCACGTGTGGCTCATACACTTCCAGTAGTACATGGCCACTGCTGCTCCTTCTGAAAGCAAAAGGGATGGGGAGCTGATGTAGAGAGATGTGGTCAGCTGTTGGTACAAAGTGTGGTCTGAAGGAGGAGGAGTGTTGGCTTAAAATCCAGTGAGTTTTGAGTGTCCCTTTGAAGAATTTATGCATCCTAACATTTCCTAAAATTCTATCTGCAGTAGTGATGACTTTTAAACCATGTTTGAGAAGCTAAGGATTAGAGATCTACAGTACGGTGACTTTAAGGCTTTGATGTTTTACTGAAAACAAATATTTCATCTTAACATACTCCAAAGACTGGAAAATGCATTGAGGAACTTTGCCTGTCTAACTACTGGGGATGTGATTGCCATCAACTACAATGAAAAGGTACAGTTTAGGGTTGAGGGTTGTAGACTTAAGTTTAGTTGTTGGATGTTGGTACTAAAACAATCAACCCAGAGCTGTGCAGTGTTTTGGACAAGTAAGCCCCATGGCAGATTTCACAGTTGGTTTTCTGTTGGAGGGAAAATGGAGTCAGCTAAGTCTTTTTCTGAGCTGCTGTTTAAATTTCTTTGAACTCATAAGAAAATAAATGTTTGTGCTGTTGAAGGTTATACAAGTCAAGGGAAAGAATTTATCCTAAATTCAGAATTTGTTTTCAAAAATGCAGGTTAAAGTAAAGTAAGAGCAAGGTGCAGTAATGGGTTCTCTGGCTTCTAAGTTAAAAACTTTTGCTATTACATTCTCTAGAGACCCTGCAGTATCTAGTCCTCAACCTAAAGAGTACTTACTTCAGCTCTGGAGGGAAAGGTTTAGGTATGCTTTCCTCACACATAATTCAATCTTCAAATATCTGTGACTGTTTCAGATCTATGAGCTTCGGGTGATGGAGACCAAACCAGATAAGGCTGTGTCCATCATAGAGTGTGATATGAACGTAAGTTAAAGCTGATGGGGAAAGTCTGCCCTAACTGTGTCCTCTCAAGAGGAGAGGACACTTGTGCAGTGATAGCTCTGCACAGCCAGCCCAGCTGATGCTGCAAGAAAGGTGCAATCCATGGGGTGGGAAGGTGACTCACTAGGGAGTGCTCCTGTGCCTTTGTAACCCCATCTGTGATCCTGACTAGCACTTCATGTACCATCAGGTGACTGCAGTGCCTAGAATTTAGTGTTTAGCTTTGGCATGTTTTATCTGAGTTCTATTTAATAGCTTGTCTTGACTCATATTCCAATGATATTGTGGAGCTGTTTTACTGCTCTGTTTCCATTACATGCTAAGGCTCATTCCTAAGAGGCTTGGTCTTATTTTAGTTCTGAATTAAATTGTTTAACAAGCAAATCTTAGTTCTTTTTAGATCAAATGTAGTGATTATAGTTTATGGAGTTTTGAGGAATAGTAATATAAAGCTTATGATTTAAAGAAAAATATTAATAATTTTTTTTTCATGCTTCTTGTGTAAATAGGTGGATTTTGATGCTCCTTTGGGATACAAGGAACCAGAAAGAAGTGCACAACACGAAGAGGCTGCCGTATGTTAAGTCTTTTGTTCTTCCAAAATGCATGCCCTAGAAGTCACTATTGATTGTGGAGAGAGTGCCAACATAATTTTTTTCATTTAAACAAGTTCTTAGGGGTAAATTTTACTTAGCAGAAGCTTTTGCATGTGTTACTTAGGAGACTGATGTTTACCAACTGTTATTTTGGGAAGGTGATTGTTCTGAAGTTTTGTTTGGTCAGAAATACTTGGAACTGTTTTCATGTCATGTGCATGTCAGAACAAAATGAACTTGTTCTTCCCCTCACAGGATGTGGAAGCAGACCACAGTGGATATGTGAGCGATATAGGATTTCGTGTAAGTGCCCTGTTTCTGCTGGTTTCTGAATGCTGTAAAATGGTGAGGGAAAGTTGTTCTGAATGACTGCAACATATTAGTACCTGTTCTTAGAGATGCTTGTTATTTAACTGGCAAGTGCCTGGAATGTTTGTGTGGTCACAGCCAGGGGCAGCATGACTTGCTGTCTGCAGAGGGCAGATGGGAGACTGAAACAGACCCCTACACCCACAATTCATCAGCTTATATGTACCAAAAAGAAGCATGCTGATTTAAATAACTAGATGAAAATTGCTGTAAGATTTTGCAGATATAATGTCCTTGTGCAGTGTGCTTTCAGATGCCAGGAGTTCAGTTAAAACTGGTTGTGTATCCACAGGCATTCTCTGGATCTGGGAACAGATTGGATGGCAAGAAGAAAGGTGTGGAGCCCAGTCCCTCACCAATTAAACCAGGAGACATCCGAAGGTATGGCTGTATCATTCACCTGTAAACCAGTGCAGGATCAGGGTTTGAGCAGAGTTTGGTTTTTTCCCCTGCTCCTGCAATATAAACAACCTAATTTTGTCATGAGTTTGACTTTAGAAAATAGTCTTTCTTATCCACAGGCTAATGGAAACATGCCTGTGGCCAAGCTTCCACAACATCTCCAGTATTTGATTATTTACTTCTGCAATCTTCAGAAAATAATTCAGTGGTTTAACTCTGGAATTATTTAGAAATGAAAATATGCAGTCAGTGTTGGTATTACACTGACAGACACAGAATAGGTCTCTCTGTGTCAAATGCAACAGTATATAAACATAAACTTTTTATGCTTCTTTTCCAGAGGAATTCCCAACTATGACTTCAAGATCGGTAGAATCACGTTCATTAGGAATTCACGTCCACTGGTCAAGAAAGTGGAGGAGGTAAATAAAGTTGAATCCTTCCCAGTTTTGCACAGAATTATATCATTAGAACTAAGATCCAAGTTTGTGGCCCCTCTCTCTTTCCCCTTGTTTTTTTTACAGCATGCTTCCTTTAAAAAGTGGCAGTAGTTTAGAATGGTTTGAGTCAAATGAAACAACCTCTGATGTCCTTGTTACTGATGGAAAAAGATTGGCCTGGTGTCAGTTTATTAAGCCAGTTGGCTGAAAGGTCACCAACATGCTACTATTTTATTTTCAGGAAGAAAGTGATGGTTATCTAGATTAGGGATGTGAAAGGCCTACAGTCAGTGGAGTATTCTTGCTAACAATCGTTCAGCTTTCATCGCACACAAGCAGTGAGCCAAGAGGTAAAACCTTTTTTCCCTCTTTCTTTTTCCCAGGATGAATCTGGAAGCCGGTTTATTGCCTTTTCAGGAGAAGGCCAGTCCCTGCGCAAGAAAGGAAGAAAGCCCTAGGTTGTGGTACCTGCAGCTAGTTAGGGGGAAAATAAAATAACAGGTGCAGCATCTTGGATCTTCGTAATTGCAGTTGAGAGATCGTTTCGCAACACAGGAGCACTTAATTGGTGTTTTGGTTTCATGTTTAGAGCTGGAGCTGTCAGACTGTCTTAATTTTCAGTTGAAAATTAAGTTCTGGGATTTGGAAGAAGCTTTTTGTACATGTTGTAAGGAGGGGAACACAGGTGTGTGGTAAACCTGAGAAGCAAAACTAACCAGCTCTACCTTACTAAGGGTCCAGTTCTTAGACTACATCCTCCCTTCATCTCCTGAGTGATGATGATCTCATGTTGCTCTGTGCTTGGTATTTTCCTTCCTTTATATATATTTTGCCACAATTTCAGATCAGCTTTTTGGTGTGGTGCAAATGAAGGGTGACTTTGGTGTTTAGGATTTTAGTGCAGGGAGTCTCTTTGAGCTTAGCTTCAGGTGTTGGGTTATTAATCATTCTAAGCAAACCCCCTGTAATTGCTTTTTATATTTATAATTAATAACATGCCTTTTAATAGTTCAGATACTCTAACGTAGCGTAGCAATCTCTTGGCACGTGTAGGGAGAGGAGGGACCCAGCTGCACTGCCCGGTGCCGCTTTGGAATGGTGCGAGTGTATCCTGTGCGCCCTCTCGTCTGCCGGCGAGCGTACCCGGGTGCAACCCTGCGCTCCCCTTGCGAGCCCGAGTAAAAGTTCCTGGTTCCCAGCTGCGTGTCTGTGTGGTGATTTCGGACAGACCGAGGCCCGGCGCTGCCGAGCTCCCGGCGCCTCCCCGGGCAGCGCCCGGCGGCCGCGGCCTGCGCTGCTCACGTGCCGGCCGCGGAGCAGCCATTGGCTGCCGGGCCCGGGCCGCTCTGTGCCGCCCCTCGCCATTGGCCGCGGCGCGGGTCCCGCCGTAAGCGCGGTGGCCATTGGCGGCGGCGGCATGGCGGGCACGGGCGGCTCCTGGCGGGTGAGCGGGCGCGGGGCCGGGGGGAGCCGGGGCCGGGATCGGGATCGGGCGGCGGGACTCGGTTCAGCCCGGCCGTGTCCGTCCGCAGCCGCCGCGCTCGTGCGAGGACTACTGGGGGGAGTGGAAGCATTGCCGCGGGCTGCGCCACGCCTTCCACCACTACTACGCGCACGGGGAGCTGCCGGAGTGCGGCCGCTGGCGGGAGGACTACGAGGCCTGCCGCGCCTGGGAGAGGGACCGCAGCGCCGCCGCGCAGGTACCGGCCCCGCTCCGCGCCGCTCCCGCCTGCCCGGCGCTCTGCAGGCCGGGGCTGCTGCGACTGAAACCCGCAGCCGCGGGGGTTGGGGAGGGTTCGGAAAGGCAGGAGCCGGAGGTGGGTCGGCTTGTCTTAAAATCCAGTGAAGGATCCGGGAAGTATTTTCAGTTGTGAACGCTCTTGATTTCTGTTACTCTGACATTTCCTTCCTAAAAGGAAAATCCGCCACGTTACAGGGAAAAGGCATTCCTGGGGTGTCTAGAAATGCCCCTGGCTCCAGCCCCCCGACATTGGACCGCAGGCTCCAGCCTAACTCCTCCCGCCAGCCAGGACAGCTTCCTTCGGGACTTAGGAGCCAGAGGCAAAATTAAATATGACTTAGTTAAAAACTTGTATTCTGGGTTACTTAGATAACATTTAGTGCTTCTACTTAAGCATGATAAATTTTTATTTCTTCTTTTATCTCAGTTGTTCACAGCAGAAAATCAGCTCTGGATGACTGGAACATCCAACACTATTATGGTAATATTTTTTTTCCTGTATTTCAGGAAGCTTTGTGCAAGAGTGAAAGAGCTCGAGTTATGGAAAAACAGAAATATGCTCCAGTGTGGAACCTCAGGAAGAGCCCACCACGTGACTGGTATCTACCACTTGACCACGACAAATCAAATTAACAACACTGTTTTCTGTGTTTGGTCAATAACATAATACACAATTCAGAATTATGCCTTTTTTTTTCCCCTTCCACATCATCTTGAAGTTATTCAACTGTAGCTCTGCCCTACAGTACTTTAGCACTCACTCAAAAATTCTGAAATGTTATTTAAATAATGAATACTTTTAAAGGGAAATTTAAGGTGCTTAATTTGTTGTGGTCTTTTACTGTTGACTTACATTTCAGGATTTCATTTCAGCAGGCACCTTCCAAATTAATGCATGCATGCTCTAGCTCTGAGGGCCTCTTGCTCTAGCAGCTGGCATTGAGCACTTCTGGACAAGGTACCCACCCCAGACCTGCCAAATGGGGAAAAAGAACCAGGCTGGGACTCTTCCTTTCTGGCTCAGGACAATCCCAAACACTGGCATTTAAGACATTTCCCAGAACCAGGGTTGTGGTGCTTGAAGAGCTTCTCACCTGTGGGCTGCACACCCTGGAACTGCCCCTTAGTGGAACTGCTCTCGACTGGTGGTGTGTGTTGTGGCAGTATTCAACACAACTGAAAAATAAAGGTTTAAACTAATGTAGAGAGAGATCTGGTTTGTATTAGGGCAAACCCACAGAAACTTAGTTACAATGGTTACATAGCAATATAAGAAAATTTAAAAAATTGGCTTTGCCACTGTGTAAGGTCGTGTAGCTTTGCTAGGTGTGTTATTACCTGGACAGTCATTAAAACACAGAGATACTTCATTTATTTTTTTACAGTCACATCCTGCAGTGTTGTAACCTGCAGGAAAAATTGTTTATTACTCCAATCTTTCTTCCTTCAGTCACTGAGCTCCTGGTGGCAGCTGAAGCAGGAGCTCCCCTGTCACTGTGTGTACACCTTGGTGATGTCAACGCACTTCCCCTCGGGGGGATCGTAGCCAGGAAGGGGAGGGGTGTGACTGGGCCCGTCCCTCTCGAAGGGGAAGAGCCCCTCGTCCCTCAGGATTGCTGCCTGGTACAGCTCCTCGGATTCCAGCTGCAGCTCCTGCAGCGCCTCCTGCTGAGATTCTACAAGGGCTTTGATTGCTTTCTTTTCTGCCTCGTCCTGTTTCTGCTTAAACAAACACCACTTCTTCAAAAGTAAAACTCTTCTTTCAGACTCTTCAGGAGAAAGAGGGGGAAGGCTTCGCACCCTGATGAGGAGAAGGATAACACTGTCATGGAGAAACAACCTGACCAAAGACCAAACTGAGAAAAACAAAATGCCCAAACCAAAAATCCCACCACCAGGCAAAAACCCCCCACCAAACCCAGAGAATACACTGAATTCACTAGTAACTTAGTCAGTCTGTGAGGTTTTCCAGTCAATCTAACAGGAAATGCACTGGTTTTCATTATTTTTAGCAAGAACAAATAACATTTCCTTTCCACATTTTTGTCCTGATGGAGGTGGGTAAGGTTTTGTACCAAGGCTGGTACTATGTTGCAGTTGTGCAGAAGAAATTCACTGTGAGTGCAGGTGCAGGGTGAAAGGCAGACCTACTGACCTGTTGCTCTCTGAGTACTTCAGTGGTGTTATAAAATCCTCAATTGGAATCAGTTCTGGGGCAGCTTTTTCCAACTTTTTAAGCCTTTTCTTCATACGCTCCTTCTGTGCTTGCTCTTTCTTCACATCCACTTTCTTTTTCTTCTTTGGTTGTGCTCTATAAGGGAAATAGTAAATGAAAGAAGATATTTTATCCTTTAATTCAACACCAGCAACTTTCCCTTTCTTTTCCATTGTTTAATTTCTCCCTGACACAAGTTCCAGCCATTAGCTTTATTCAACTAATGCAATTTCCAGTGACATGTCTGCTGAGATTTTCTGCAGAGAGAACTGTAACTGCCTGGGAAAAGCAATTTTGTGCTGAACATCAGAATGACCTGAGGAAGTTCCACAAAAAAATTGAATTAGAATTGTTTTAACTGGCTCAGAGTACAGCACAGCAGGTTTATCTTATGCTGGAAAGGACCTTAAACCTCATGTGGTTCTAATCCCCTGCCATGGGCAGGGAAACCTTTCACTAGACCAGCTTGCTCCAAGCCCCATCCAACCTGGCCTTGAACAAATATTGCTGTCATTTCACATTAAAGACTTCAAGTGGTTTTATACAAGCTTCTGAAATTTCTGCATTTGGAGCCAAGTTCAGGCTGTAGATGTTACTTCTCCACAGATCCAAGATATTGCACACTCCACAAACACAAATTGACCCTCATTCCTGCTGGCAGACCGAACAAACCACATTTATTGTGTCAAACAGTCCCTCTCCAACAGCACCTAAGAGCTACCTGGATATTTTAAATCAAGCTGCATCAAAACAAGACACAGACACTGAAATGTGGCACAGAAACACACATGGGCTGCCTCTGCCTTCACAGCCAAGCATTTCTGGTTCAGCCAGGCTTTCACTGGTGTTGCCCAGCAGGGAATTCTGGAGCACTGCATAAATCCCAACATTTCCAGCTGTGTTCTGTGGTTGTGTTACCCACAAGCACAGAGTGGTAATTGTATCACCTCCGACCTCTCCACAAGAGGCCAACAGTTCCCAACTGCTTTGGCATATACAGACTTAAACATGTACAGTTAAAGGTTAAATTTGGACTTGGGAGAATTTGTGTTCCCCCAATGGATGAGAACACTTCCGTGTAAGTCCAAGAAAGCTGCACTCACCTCACAGGGAGGGATGTCCTGAACCCCAGCAATGAGCTCTGCCAGTGACTCCCTCGGAGCGGGACCCTCTGGGGCAGCCAGGAGCTGCAGGAGGAGAAAGAACATCAGGCATGAGGAGGAACTGACTCTGGTGTCTGATTCTGCACAGGAGCTGTTTGTTATTCACATTTTACAGTGATGAGTTTTGAACCATCTTCAGCCACTTCATTCACGGCAGGACACAGTGTTTGCCTAGAGATGACCTCAAACTCTTGAGCTAGGTAACTGATCCCAAATACGGACAGGCCGGTGTGAGCCCACCAGGGTACCGAGGGGTGAAAGGACAGTTTTTGGATAGGTTATAGCAGTTTTATTTTTAAGCTCTGACAATGACCCCTTAGAGGAGCTGGTATGGGGGAGGTCGGACCACCGCCGTTCAATTAGGAGAGCGATGCCGACTGTCCTATCTCTGCGGCTGTCACGGGAGGACGAACCGGCTCAGTTGCCAAGGCACCGACTTCTCCAGGTGCGGGGGCCCAGCGCGGGCCCAGCCCCGGGAATGGGCGGGAGCGGGCTGGGCAGGCACTGCGGCTAAGGGGCGCTTCCCGGGCTCCCCTCCCGCAGCCTTGGGGCAGGGCGGCCGCAGCCCAGTCCCGGAGCGCCGTGCCAGCCCTACCTGAGCCGGGCCCCGCGGAGCCCCCGCGCCGCCGCCGCCGCCGCCGCCGCCATGGCTGCGATGTTCTGGCCGCCGCTGAGCGCCGCGGCCGCGGAGGCAGCCCGGGCGGAGCCGCCCTGGGGTCCCGAGGGCGGAGGCCGGCGGGGGCCCCGGGCGGGGAACAATGAAGCTGCTGAAGCCGACCTGGGTCAACCACAATGGTGAGGGCCGGCCGGGCAGCAGGTGCCGCGGGCCGGCCGGGCAGCAGGTGCCGCGGGCCGGCCAGCAACAAGTCCGCGCCCGCGCTGTCCCGGCGGGCGGCGGCGGGAGCGGAGCGCGGTCCCGGGCGGCGCGGGGACAGCTCGTGCCCCAGGAGCGGGCTGGAGGGGACCCGGCACAGCCGCGCTCTGCGGGGACGGCTGCGGGCTCCGAGGGAACGCTGAGCTGCTTCCGCCGGCCGGGCACGGCCCGGGGCCGCTTCGTGCTGGTGGAAGTGCGGAGGGAGTTTGAATGGAGTGTAGCCCCTGCGCGAGAGAGAAGGAGTTCCGTGCACAGGTCGGGTGTGCGCGGGATGAGTCGGTGCCCAGTGCACTCACTGACCACCCGGCTCTCACATTGCTGACACAAGTGCAGTATTAAAAATCCTCAAATACACTGAGCTGTGCTGTCGTTCTCCACGGAGGGAAAAGTTTCTTCCAGCAGTTCTTTCAAAACAACTCCCTGAATTTATGTAGTGTCCTGTCTGCCAGTTCTCTGGTGATGTTGAAGTGATGTGTGAGCTAAAACAGCTCAGAGTGAAGTGCTGATATTGACAGCAGGCTCTGTACTTTCCTTGTGTGGCAAATACAGGACAGCACCAGAGTTTATGTCATATTTACACTGCTTAGGATGAATTTCCAAATTAATACTTGTACTGTTCCTGGTGAAGCAGTGACAAGAAGCCTAACACAAAGAGCTCACTTTTGTTTATGAGAGTTTTGCTCTCAGATTCATGGGTACAGCTTTATTTCAGCTGCAGATTTTATACTCTGTCAACATGTAAATGTCATTAGCTGGGCTCATGTAGCTGATTGGTATCTAGAGTAAAACTAAGGCCAAACTATTCAAGCTGGAAAAGCATGCTTTGAGCTAAAAACCCCAGGTAGAACTTTACAGCTGCCTTTTGTGCATGTGTTGTGTTCTTTGTGTTCATGCTGCAAATGTTGATAACAATTTGAGCCTTGAGTTGACATTTGTGTGCATCTTTACTTGGCCTGCTCTCCAGGGACTCTACAGGCAGCAGATGGACTCAACCTTGTAACCAAAGGCTGTAGTGAACTGAAAAAAATGTGGAAGTGCTTTATTTGAGATGTTTTTTACATTTCTGCTTGGTTACTCTAAACAAATGTAGCATTTACATCTTCATCTGTGTAACTTCTTTCCTTATTTCTTTAATGGGTGCACCTTTTGCTATGAGTATGTATTTGAAATCTGTAGCAATGTAGAACACATCCAACCATTGCTTCAGACAAGCATGGCTTCATTTATAGAGTGATAATGTGATAATGGATAGTGCACTACACAGGGCCTTGATGGTCCTGAATTTTACTCCCATTTCTGCCACTGACCTTTTGGGATGAGTTTGGCCAAGGCACTTCCTCATCATTTCACCACCTGCATGTGCAGATGCATCATGCCACCAGCTCCATTTGTGGGGTGCACTCAGGGCTGCAGAGGTGTGCAGGACTGAGACAGTCCCACATTGCTGTCCTTGGGGCAGGGAGTGCAGCCTGAAAACCGGTGAGTTTAGTCAGCCTCTTGTAACGAGCCCGGGTTCCGGATCCTGCAGGCATCGCTGCCTGTCAGGAGTCTCCATCATTCTCCTGGGCCTTCCTCTTGGCTCTGAAACCTTCCAGAATTCACACTCTGTGTGCTGGAGACTGTGATAATTCTTATTCCTTTGATTTCTGCACTGGCACACGGGGCTGCCTCACTGTTCTCGTTCATGAGTCCTGATAGCAGGGCTGCCTCTGCCACACACCAGATCAGCTGCTGTCACTTCAGCCTTTTCCTCTTCCCACTCAGTTTTGGGAGTTTTGTTTTACTGAATGGACTAGAGTGATGCTTCCAGGCATACATTCTCCAGGAGATAATAGACACTAGAAGTGATTGTGGTGGCCAGGAAATCCAGCACACCTGGGAATTGTGTGCTGCACAGCCCAGATGCTGTGTGCTTACAGTAAAAGCACTTCAGCACATTTTGGCTCTA